AGGCGGCCCAGCACCAGCCTGGCGCCGTCCCGCCGGCCCAGCAGCAGCTGCAAAGCGCAGCCCCCAAGCCGGCAGCCTCAGGCAAGCAGGGCAACGTGCTGCCGCTGTGGGGGAATGAGAAGACCATGAACCTGAACCCCATGATCCTCACCAACATCCTGTCGTCGCCCTACTTCAAGGTGCAGCTCTATGAGCTCAAGACTTACCATGAAGTGGTGGACGAGATCTACTTCAAGGTGAGCTTGCGGGCCGCGCCCTGGGGGCTGCGAACGCCTCGGGGCTGGGCTGGCGCCTGTCCTGAGCCTCCCCGGGGCTGGGGTTTCAGAAGGTTGCAGCCTGTGGGTTCTCTCTTGTTTTCCTGCCCTTATCGTACGGTAAGTATGGGAGCACGTATCTTTTTTTTTTTGTTGCTTAACTGGGGGAATCCGAAGTGCTGCCTTCTCTCTCTTACAAAAGAAGTGTGTTTTGTGTCGGATTTGGAGTCACTAAGTCGGAAGTTGCTTTTGACGTGGGGAGCGTGGCCAGGGCAGTGGGGATGAAATGGCCGTCTCGGGGCTGCGCTCTCGGTCGGTGAAAGGTTTGGTGGTGGCTGTAGGTCGCTTTAGCGGGAGTTTGCATGTGGCCTTCTTTCTTATTTAGAGGTTAGGATCCCCGCCTCCGCACCCAATCAAGAACTAGTTTAATGTATGCTTCTCTTGGCGTTAGGTCTGATGTTCTGGGAAGGTAATCGGTCTGTATCAGTGCACCCATGTCTCAGTTCTTGTTTTGTTAGCAGAACTGAATCAGTTTTGGAGCGAAGCTTCCATTAAGTCAGTCTCCCGAGTAGAGGTATGCATAATTAATACTCATCAACACAGCCACATTCTTTGTTCTGATAACGAGAGCAAAACTTAGAGAATTCAGGCTATTGTCTTCAGTTAGCTGTACCTTGGTGGTTATTAAGATTTTTTTCTCAGGTGAATTGGTTCTTTGTGATAATGTTACTGTGTTAATGGGTTTCAATATACTTTGAAATAAAAAAAAAAAGGCAGCCTTTTTGTCTCATTTAACCAGGGCAAGTCAAGTTACGTAGAGCACTATAATTGTGAAAAATAACTCTGCGGAAGTATTTTGAGATTTTTGGTGCTGTTTGCACTTGTGAAGACAGCACTTCTCTGCTTGCAGCTCTTCTGCTTGTGCTCTGTCATTTGGAGTGCACTGCTTAATTCTCCTAATACTTAGAGTAACACAAATCATCGACAAAGCTTCCCTTCAGTTAATTTGCCACTTGCTGCATATGAGCTAGGAATAATTCGTTCTGACTACCTGAATGGAAAGCAGCGAAGTTTATTTTTGAAAGTGATGATAAAAGCTGAAAAATTTATAAAAGAAACATATTGTCAGGAAATTTGAGAGCTTACTGTATTTTACATGGACCCTTCCAGATGTAGTAAAAATATTTGATGTGATTCATCGTCTTAGTATTGGCAGACTCAACTGTAGTAGGTCAGATAGTTCATTTGCTTGTCTCAGTGTTTCATTTGATAAGTGGCTTAAGCTGAAATTGGGGAAGAATTTTGACATACATTAAATATCTGCATATTGATCCAATATAAATAAGTTTTGTTTACTGAACTTGACAGTTATTCTGACTCAAAACTGCATGCTCAGTAAAGAGAAAACTCAGCCCCTTAGTCCTGAGTAGTAGATGCAAAGGAGAAGATAACTTAACCTGGTGGTTAAGGTACTTCATTGATACTTAGTTTTAAGATTACTGAGAAATTGCTGGCTTTTTTTTTTTTTTCTTTTTTTTTTGGCATGAGAGCGTAACCCACCATAGCAGGTCTATTTTTGGGTGTATTTGTCTTTGGGAATGAAAATAAGTGGCTCATTTAAGAAATTAAGAATGCTGGGTGCTGCATTCTCAGGAAAGCTGATCTTAAGTTGTATAGGCAGGGACCATCTTTGAAGATATGGATTCTGTCTAGATATTTGAATTAATTCACTTGTTCTGGTTTCCTGTTTCAGTTCTGTATCTGTGAAGGGAATGACTTCCTCTTTCTTTATCCCTGATGTCAGCACCATGTGCATGTCCTCAACTTCATTTTATCTATGTGCTTCCAAGAAGTTAAGCACATGCAGCAGTCTTTCTAGGATCAAAGCTTTAAATATTGCTTTCTGAAATGAGTATCGTTTTCAGGGCTTTTTATTGATACCTGTCAAAAAGAGCATGTTTGTATTGATTGTGGTCAGTTAGTGTAGCCATAATTAAAAAAGACGTGAAGACTGCCATTGTGATAGTGTCATACTCGATCCTTTGACTAAGAAATACTTTTCATTTGCTGGGAGAGGCAAAACAGTAAATAATCAGAAGGATGTGCAGTATTATTTATGTAGTATTTGTGAACATCTCATATTATGCTAATAATACAGGAAGTCATAGTGGATTTTGAATTCTAAAATGTTGGCATCTCTCATCTTTCCTATTTGGATAAGACTGCAACTTCAGCCATTAGTTTGTCTCTGATTTCATGTGATTGTGTGCATAATTAGTTTTGCTTCATGTATTATTAAAGAATTTTAATTTGTGAGCTACAGTACAACTTGGCCACAAACTGTTATCCCCAATCCAGTGTAACACCATTGTATCTTTTTTTGTCTTGCTTTTACTTATTTTTTTTTTAAGTTGACTTGTTTAGGAAATATACTTGTTTTTTGAGCCAGATGTTACTTCTCTGAATTTCACTATTTCAGATGTAGCTTAGGCAGTTTTATGGTTCTTGTTTACGATTCTTGTTGTCAAATTTAAAGGAATGGTGTTGCTTAACTATGTTCATGCGGTCATCTCTACGTACATCTCAAAAGATTTGAATTGGGCAAGCTTTACTCGTACTTAGGAACCATTTTATCTGAGAACATCACTTCAGTCTACAAGAAAAAACACTGGCTTTTTAGATTAAAATACTATACTTTATATACATCTTTCTTTTGTCCTAGTTGTAGGTGATATTCAGAAGAAGTCTCTAGCTAAGCTCACTGCGTAAATAAGATTTACGAATACAAGACTTTAGATTTTGACTTCTGTAGCTGTCATCTCCAGGTATCACTAAATTTGTTAAGAGACAGTTTAAATAAAGTTTTCTGTGGTGACTAATTGTTTAGTCACCATAGAAAAATGTAATGATGGGGTTTAGCCCTAAAGTATTTGAAAGTACTTGGGAGTACAGAATAAGCATGGCTCCTTGCTTTAGTGTTTTTGTGTGTCTTTTTTTTTAACTACATCTGTGATTTTGGCTGTAGTTTCTTAATATGGTAATTTAAAGAGCCAAATGCTTTGCTTTTATGACAAAGCAGACTTGATCTTGAGTTTGGTAGGAGAATACAAGCTATTTAATATTGATTTAGGATATCCATTGTTTAAATTAGGTTTGTATTGATGCCGTGAAAAGCCAGAGTTGAAGACTCAATAGTCGGAAGGCTATTAAGTAGATATTCTTTATTACGGTGCCGGGCACACGGGGGGATCTCTCCTCCAAACATGTGCACCGAAGAGACACAGTTAGTAAGTATTTATGCTGTGTTAACATACATATTAATTACATTTCCAAGAAATGCTTATCATAGTACTGGTTTTTCCAAGAACTCATTAGTAGATGATAATGTCCTTCAGTCGTTGGGGGTCTTGAGATCATCTTGCAGCCTCCTTATCTCTGTAGTTTGCATACCTGCTCTCCCAAAGCCCAGCCGCCTAAAGGAATTATTTGGGAGTCTTTTATCTTACAACTGTCCAAATTATTCACAAAGAACCAAGACTTGCTTTGGTAGTGCAATGATTCTGATGTCCTGAAGTGATACCTTTTATCTACATCCCTTACGTGTTACCTTTGTTACATTCACAGGTATCAGTATAGGCAGCTAAACATTATGGAGGTTGTAATTGTTATTTTCTTTCTTTCCTCCCCCCACTCTATCCTTTCAGGTTACGCACGTTGAACCATGGGAGAAGGGGAGCAGAAAAACGGCAGGCCAGACAGGGATGTGTGGAGGGGTAAGTAGAAGTACGTGCCTGCTTAAATTTTTCTATCGGGTAAATAAATTACCCAAGCATAGCTAAAACTTGATGTATGTTGTCTCAGTCAATGGATATAAAAGTATTTATTAGAGAGTTGGTATATTCCCCTTGCTTCCAGAGCTGTGGATGCAAGTAGTGTTACTTTTTCCACCTAGGTCTGTTTGTAGATTTAGATTTTATCCTGTGTTAGTTCGTATATTCTTTTGTAGATTTGGGATAATGTCTTTGTGACTTCCTGCATTGTCACCTAACTGTTTTCTTTTGAAAGGTGCGGGGTGTTGGAACTGGAGGAATTGTGTCTACTGCCTTTTGTCTGCTCTACAAATTATTTACACTGAAACTCACTCGTAAGCAAGTGATGGGCCTTATAACTCATACTGACTCTCCATATATTAGGGCTCTTGGATTTATGTATATTAGGTAAGTGTCAATATAAACAACTCATGACTAATTTAATATGCAGAAAGCTGTATTAAAATTTTACATTCTTTTTGTACTTAAAGGTACACACAACCACCAACAGATCTGTGGGACTGGTTTGAAGCCTTTCTTGATGATGAAGAGGTATGTCGGCGAGGGTAATAATTTGTTTTCTTTTGTTTCTTTTCATGTTACTACTTTTGGTTTAAATGCTATTTGATAAACTTTTCTGTAGTTTGAATGCTGCAGTGTTATGTTCTTATACTTTTATTTATTAGGTGTAGGAAGCAGGTCTGAGCTGGGACCCGGGTCATTTTTCATAGATTTCAAAGATATAACAGAATTTTCCATTGGTTAGGATGTTACTGTGTCAAATATTACAAAGCGGTGTGAAACAAGTTTATTAAATCAGAATGCAGACAGCAGGCTGCGTGAGTGCAGTATTTAGAAGGAGAATTATTTTTAAGCAAGGTATAGTAAGTCCTGAGTGCTAAATTTGCATTTATTACTGGGACAGGGCGAACCGATGCATACGTAGAAGAGTGGGAAGTATATAGTAGAAACCAGCATTCACCTTGAAAATATTATGAAAAAATCTCTGTGGCTGTTATTCATGTCCTGGAATAACTAAACCCAGGATTTCTTCAGAGGGGAAACAAACAGCCTAATTACGGTGTAAGATGGCATTGTTTCTACTAACCTTAATGTCTTTACTAATGGGGCAAAGACAGAAACATGAGTTGCTAACCGAAGAAGTTCGGTAAAGAGGCTGCATTGTTACGCAGTCAGATAGGAGAATACCTTTGGTACCATAGTCCTGATTTACTGTCTGGAGAAACAGAGTAGGAGCTGGTGTGTGAGTTTTTTTGGTCTATGAACTTGAATGTACAGTCTGCTACATACTGTTGCAATTTGTATTTATTGAACAGGTTTTAAATTATATCATAGATTTAAGAATGGGACAAGAAGGATCACTTCCCTCTTCAGTGTCACAGTAGGCATCTACTTCAAGAAATTTCAAATGTTGTAGTTGCAAATGAAGTCTGAATACTTGCATTAAAAATAGTGTTCATTATACCTGTATCCGACTGCAATGCAGTGTATTTATTTTAAACAGCTTCTTTCATGCTAAATATCAGAAACACTGCAAAGGAGACAGCTGTTGTTTCAGGTAAACCTGTATTATTGTACATTTGTAACAAAAATCAAAACATTTAAATCTTCATTGCATCACTGTGGTATCCTCCTTCCCTCCCAGGTGATGCTAGTTAATATGAACTCTTCACTACAGTGTTGCACTGTAACTTATGAGGAGGATTGAAGTGGCTTCATTTTCAGGGTACCGCAACCAACTTTGTTCCCAGGACAGTAAAGCGATCACAAGTGCAATTCACTGTGTGGGTCTTAACTGGTTTGTTATTCAAAGCACCTTTTTTAGTTCATGTATTTCAGTTCTTGCAGATACTGGTTATCAGCATATATTTGTTTATTGTTGTTTGAAATCTCTAAATATATTTTTAGAATTAGTGTTTCTTTCCCAGCCACTTTCACTAGCTTTGTGTTATGTGGGGAAAAAGTGCTTGGGGCTGCTTGTCTTAAGTTTCTTACCAGTCTTGGTCAAGCTCAATAGGATGAAGCAAATTTATATATATGCAATCATTTAAACCTACAGGATTTTTTTTTTCTCCAGTTCTTTAATATGTGGAAGAGTTTCATCTTTTGTCATGCTGCTGTGAAAAACTTCCCAGGATACAGAGTTACTTTTCAAAATGCTGCTTATGTTTATTTTGTTTAACTGTACATACTCTCCAGGTGCTACGTTTAACTCCTTTTTTTCTTCTTTAGATCTCTGCAGCGATTATATTTGGAAAAACTGTATATCTGAACACTTAAATGTGTGTGAGTGCAAGCAGTTTTACATTTAGATTTTCTCTTCCTGTTTAGATAACAAATCTCACTTTCCTTGTGTGCTTGCACTGTAGGTTTGGGACTGACAATAGCTGACTAACATGTCCTGAGCTGTGAGAGGGCATAGCAAGAAGGCCTTCATGCGGTAATGACCCTTTTCAGAGACAATGGTCATCATGGATTATGCGTTTCCAATTATTTGTTCATTTATTTATTTTTTTACATGTTTCTAAATTAGAAACCTCACTGCTTCATGGCAGTTGGTTTGCTATTGCTTCCAATTCTGTTAGGATGCCATTTTGTACTGGAGGTTTTTCTATGATCATTTTTAGATAGGCAATGATGTAGTTCTTAAATGATTTAGGCCACAGGGTTGGGTATGATAGTACACAGTTGTACATCCACAAAATGGAGTATTAAATGTAGTTTGAGAGGACTTCTGAACTTTGTGGCATTTAAATAAAATACAAGATCATACCATATAATCAGACTGTGTAAGGGGATTTCGCGTTAATCTCTTCATTGACAGTCCCTTACCATCCAGATGGCTGCAGGATTAAGTATGTGCCTGCATGCATATATATTAAGTCCCATTCCCTATCTAACATACTGCCAAATCCAAGGTTGCAGAGTTTGAATTTTTCTAAGGAAATATGTTAGAATATGAGACAAGTAAACTTTCATAATCATAGACTTCAAGAGGGCAGTAATGTAGCAGCATTTTTTTTGAAAATCAGTAAAAAATATTTTTGACCATCAGGTTATTTTTTGCTTGTATTTTTTAGGACCTGGATGTGAAGGCAGGTGGGGGTTGCATTATGACCATTGGGGAGATGCTTCGTTCCTTCCTCACTAAGCTTGAATGGTTTTCCACGTTGTTTCCAAGAATCCCTGTGCCAGTCCAGAAAACTATTGACCAGCAAATTAAAAGCAGACCTAGAAAAATCAAGAAAGATGGCAAGGAGGGGATGGAAGAAATAGACCGGCATGCAGAACGTAGACGTTCAAGGTCATATACACGTTACTTTGAAAATGAATCTTAATAGTTCAATGTTGAACTGCTTATTACAGAAATGTGTTGTTTTTTCACGGAGATAGGTTTTAAAGCAACAGGTAAAACAGTTATGGATGCTAATGGATTAAAATAATCAGGTGGTATTTGGTATTAAAGATTAAATAAAGACTGTTTGCATGAAGTATAAATTGGAAAGTAAAGAGGGTCCCTTAGCTTGAAAAGGTTGTGTTTCATATTGAGTATCTTTTATTTTAAAAGGTCCCCAAGAAGATCCGTCAGTCCCAGGAGGTCTCCCAGAAGATCCAGAAGCAGAAGTCATCATCGGGAAGGCCATGGATCATCTAGTTTTGATAGAGAGCTAGAAAGAGAAAGAGAACGGCAGAGATTAGAACGTGAAGCTAAGGAGAGAGAAAAAGAAAGGCGGAGGTCTCGAAGTACTGATCGCACACTAGAACGGAGGCGAAGCAGAAGCCGGGAGAGATACAGAAGCCGCAGTCGAAGTCGTGACAGGAAAGGAGATAGAAGAGACAGGGATAGGGAGCGAGAGAAAGAAAATGAACGGAGCCGGAAAAAAGAGAGAGATTATGATAAGGAAAGAGGTAGTGAGAGGGAAAAAGATCGATCTTTTTTTTAGATAGAAGAGAGAAGACACAAGGATGACAAGGATGACAAGAAGCACCGGGATGACAGGCGGGATTCTAAAAAAGAGAGAAAACATAGTAGAAGTCGAAGCCGAGAAAGAAAGCATAGGAGTAGGAGCCGAAGTAAGAATACAGGTAGGCGCAGCAGAAGCAGGAGCAAAGAGAAGTCAAGTAAACATAAAAATGAAAGTAAAGAGAAGTCAAATAAACGAAGTAGAAGCCGAAGCAGAGGAAGAACAGGTAGTATTGAGAAGTCCAGAAAACGAGACCAGAGTCCCAGCAAAGAGAAATCGCGCAAGCGTAGCAGAAGCAAAGAACGTTCCCACAAACATGATCACAGTGATAGCAAGGACCATTCGGACAAACATGACCGTCGAAGGAGCCAAAGTACAGAACGAGAGAGCCAAGAAAAGCAACATAAAAACAAAGATGAGACTGTGTGAACTCTTTCAGAAGTGGATCACATTGAATCCTATAAATGTTTGATTAAATCCTGCTTATTTTTTCTTAAAGTTGAGATTGTGCAGTAGTTGATGAGCACTCTTCTCCAACCTCCCTCTAGGCTTCAGATTGTCATTTCCTATTTTTGGGTAGGGAAGTGCCTTTGTAAACCCATTCAATGCATTGACGGTTTCAAACCATTTGTTTAGTTTAATTCGTACTGCAGAGATTGCTCTTGCAGTTTTATTGCTCAGATGTTTCTGAAATGTACAGTCTGTACATATGTCCTGAAAATGTTTTAATTCCTTTGGCATGGTTGCCATGTTGGTTAAATTTGTATGAGGCAATAAACTGCCACTAATTCTATTTTCATTTTGGAGACGTGAAATTATGGTTTGTATTCCAAAGTTGGCATGGCTGTGCTTTACAGAATAGAATGGATTTTAGAGTTGGATCTTGAATGTGTATTATAGCCAAGATATTTATGTGCATACAATGTACATTGAGGGCTGCAGATTTAGAACTAACATTTATGTCCGCTGTACCTGCTCTTTTTTCAAAAGCTTTTGAAGTGTATTATGTTGTCGATTACCACTGGCATTAAATTGAGAGTAGACTTTCAAGGAGATAGTGGTTTTGATGCAAAGATTTAGATTATGTTTGGGCTTGTTTAGTAATTCTTTAGAAAGGCTACCTCAGGTGGACACTGTAATGGTTGACAGATGAGTACCATAGCCATCTATGCATTCTATTTGTTTAAAAAAAAAAAATCCATGTAAGCTTCCTTTTTTTTTTTTAAAGCCCACAATTTATCCATTTGTGGTCTTTTTAATGTTCTTAATCAGCAACTGCATTCTATCATTTCTGATAGTCTTGGTCTAATAAAGGCATTTAAGATGTAAAGAGGGAGGTAGGAAGAAGAAAATTATTACAAAGGATTTCAGTTTCAAGCTTCCAAAGCATTTTTATAAGTGTAAACATTTAAAACAAGAATTACCTGATAGTGTCCTTTTTTAAGTCGTATTTTCTACAGATAGTAAGGATTACAGTTTGTGCTGAACATTTCATCTGGCAGACTTTTTTTTTTAAGCAGGTTGTTAGAAGCAAAAACCAAAATGCACTACAGAAAAAAACCATACCATTAAAGTCCGAGTCTATTTGATTATTCTGATGACTTGTATGCCAAGTGAGGAGAACCATCTGGAATAAATTCTCGATTAATTCCTTTGTATTGGGTGTCAGCTTTTCCCTGCATGTTCACTGACAATTGAAGAGTGTTTGGGTTCCTCCGTGTTTCGTTTTCAGACTAAGGGATACTTTGTATGAATGAGGGATTTCGTAGCCCAAAAATAGGAAGAATGTTAAGTGTGACTCATCCATGATCACGAAGTGATGTGAAGGTAGAAATAAATTTAAATTTGTGCCTTTTTTGATTCTGTGTAATGCAGGTCATCTAGGCATGATATTAAATGTTAGGATTTTTTTTTTTTAAACCTCCAGAAGAAAACAAACAGTGCTTGAATTTCTAACAATACACTTCATTTTGGAGTACTCAAAGAAGCAAAAATAACAAACTTCAATTTTTTCTTCTTCGCTGCTCTTCTGTATTGATTTCTGAATCATTAGTCTTTCCTTTATCATCATGATACTTAGTATTCCAAATCTTTTAATACTGAGGTTGTTCAGGTATTGTCTGCTGATATTTTTGTTACATGATTTTAAATTTGAGCTTGAAGCAGAGTTTATGCTTTGACAAGTTCATTCCATTGCGGTGTAAAACTAAAATACCGAGCACTCATTTAATAGAGCAAAATTATGTTGGCTATTTAAGAAATACCCTGGCTAGTAGATTAGAGAACTGTCTTTGTAGTCTGCCAGGGAATTGCATAGATTCTATTGAAACAATGAGGACAACTTTATTTTACCTTATTTGCCACTAGAAGGCTTCTTTTGGCTTCATAAATTTTTAATTTTCAGCCTGTGAGTTTCTGAAACAAGTATGTTCTTGGGCAGAGAGGCTGCAAGGGCAGTGTTCTATTCCTCTGCCACTTTTGGGAAATAGAGTGGAAAAATGGTTTACTTGTAGGCAAAATCCACGTATTTGAGAAGCAATATTTGACCTGAAAGTGGAGAGGGCCACCTTAACTAAAATGAAGGTAGGTAACATTTTGATATAGCTTGTGCAAAAGACCAGCCCAAGCCAGGATCTCTTACAGGTGCAGTGATTTGAGGACTGTGCTTTTATTTTTCAATAAATAGGCCTTTCTGACTTGGATGTAATTTGATCCATATTATGTACTTGAGCTAGCAGTGATCAAGACCTGTGAAAGCGATTTAAATCGAGACACCTGTCTTAAGTTATCATTGGGATTTACTATCTTGCAGCTCTTGGGTTTGGATCCAGGGACTCTCAATTCCTGTTTGTCTTCCTGATGCCATTTTATTTCATGAGTCCTTCTTTGAAACCAGAAGGAACAGAGCTACAGGACTTCTACAAAGCAGCACTGATCAGAAATGGTAAAATCAGTGGAGCATGCAGTGCTGACTGGTCTGATGCAGTTGCTAGCAGTACTGCTGCAGTGGGAATTTGGCTTGCGGTTATCAGCAGAAAATGTCTGCCTATTTGAGTTGGAGGCATTGTGAGAGTTTTCCCAGGAGGTATGTTTGCAGAGCTTATGAGTGACAGCCTGTGCAGTTACTCTTCAGTTCTCAGGGTAAAAGCACAACAAACCAAGCACTGTGAACCTGAAGTTTCCGCAGTATGCCATGTGTCCATAGTTGTCTACCTGGGATTCATAGAATCATAGAAAGTTTTGGGTCGGAAGGGACGCCTAGAGGTCATCTAGTCCAACCCCCCTGCAGCGAGCAGGGACACCACTAACTAGATCAGGTTGCTCAGAGCCCTGTCCAACCTGGTCTTGAATGTTTCCAGGGATGGGGCGTCCACTACCTCTCTGTGACCTGTTCCAGTGTTTCACCACCCTCATTGTAAAGAATTTCTTCCTCATATCCAGCCTAAACCTACCCTGTTTTAGTTTAAAACCATTACCCCTTGTCCTGTCACTGTTGTCTCTACTAAAAACATTGTCCCCATCTTTCCTATAGGCTCCCTTGAAGTACTGAAAGGCTGCAATCAGGTCTCCCCGCAGCCTTCTCTTCTCCAGGCTGAACAAGCCCAACTCTCTCAGCCTGTCCTCATAGGAGAGGTGCTCCAGCCCTCAGTTGTCTGGAAAGCAGTCTCCTCCCAAACGGAGATGTCACAAAAGCTAAGCACACCCTAGTAAATCAAACTGGCTGCATTTCAAGAGATTAAACCCTCAGAATCAAACAGTTCCTCCTAGAAAGCCCCCAGGGATGTCAGAATGGCTCTGCTTGTAACACAGCATTCTCCTGGACAAGCCCTACCATGGTGTTTCAGCACTGCAAAGCCAGAAGAGCTGCTCCTTTGTGCAGGACCTACCATGAGCGCATCATTGCTAAGCAGAGATACCAACCACCGCTTTTCCCATCACACGGGTGGGCTGCCAGACTGCACGCAGTTCAAGTGCAATAACAACCCCTCACACACCTTTTGGTCAGTGCGCAGACGCTGGTGGATGATTTTAGGGGCACCTTGTCTTCAGTTTGTCATCTCGTTTCATAATAACCCAGCAGCGAGTCAATGCCTACACGTGACTGTGCTGTGCCAGGCGGAGGAAAACACCACTGCTTTCCAAACGCTCCTGCAAGCTGAGAAGCAGGCTCTAACACTGCAAGCACCATCACCTACCTTTAATGGATTTACAATACATTTTTATTTTTTAAAAAGCAAGATAATTGAGAAAAGCAACTATGATGAGCCTGCTTCACCTCCACACAACCCCTGGGTAAAACCAGACAAGCTGGAATAGCCATGGACTAATCTACCTTTCAGCAAACACCTATTCTGCTTCTATATGGTGGCAGAGACAGAGGGTGAGTCCATAAAATCTCTTCAGTTTAAACTCCTATACGTACCAGTAAGAATTCTGCCTGAATAACGACTAACAGCATCGAATGGAAAGATGGATGAGGGGCTTTGCTTTGGGCCAGGAAAGATAAATGCCCATTTCTCTTCTACTTTTCAGCAAGACCTGAAGTCTCTCTGTTCCAGAACAGAGCTTACAGCTGGAGGGATTTTACCCTCCTGGTCTCCTTCATGTCATCCATTGACTCGGGAGGGGTGAGGAGAGAGGTTGGCAGTGAAGACTGAGGCAAAAAAGTTGTTGAGTACCTCAGCTTTCTCCTCACCTGCTGTTACCAGTTTGCCGGTCTCGCTCCTGAGCGGGGGTACGCTTTCTTTGACCATCTATTTCCGGCTGACATACCTGTAGAAGCCCTTCTTGTTATTTTTCGCATCCCTTGCCAAGTTCAGCTCCAGCTCTGCCGGAGAAGATTGTCATTCTTCTTGAAGCCTATGCTGTCTTTGAAATTGCCGGTGGCTCCAGCTACAAGTACTTACCTGGACTAATAATACTAATTTGAGAAATATACCTCTAGTTTGTTTTTACTTTTCTGATGATGATGCTACCCAGCTGAACAATGTTGCAGATCTTAAGTAGCAGCAAACTGGCATTTTATTTTAAGGCAGAGTCAAGGCTTTGGCCCCAGGGATTCACATCTACTTACTGCCACATAACTATGCAGGTAATTAGTGCCAGTACAAAAGGACTTAAATATATCTGGCTTCTAAACATAATAGTGGTATTTTGATTGTCTAGCTGTATTGATAAAAGTAATGTGAATGGCAGGGCAATTTATCTGATCACATTAGGGGGTACTTGGTACACCATGCATACCCATGGTTTTTTTATACTTTCATTTATATATTGTGAAGAAACATGAATAAGCTCATACTTCTAGTACTTCCAGATGAATTTTACTGTACTGACTCTTCTGTTTCTCTCTTTTCTCTCTTTATTCTCTTCTTTCTCTCACTTGTATCTCTTTTTATTTCCTTTTTGTTTTCCACAACAATAGTTGGATGTGGGAGAACACTTAAATCTCAGCAATTTTGGGTCAAATCTGAAACCAACTGAAGGACAGATTTTTGCCAGCTTTACTGGACTGAAAACAGCCTATCTAAGTTCTGATCTATTGTGTCAAATACAATTACAAATAATTTCTATTTGGAACATAATGTACAAATTTTTTTGCAAGTGTTCATCTTTGTGTAACTGCAACTAATACATCTTTAAAATTCATTTAACTGATTTTTTTTGTTAAATAAGCATTAATGAAGGCATTTATAATTAAATAACCTATGTGTTTTTAGTTACCTGTTAGTATAAGTGATTTCACAGATACTGTTCTAAAGCATTCGTACCAGTATGCCACGTACTTCTGGG